TCTCTCTCTCTCTCTCTCTCTCTCTCTCTCTCTCTCTCTCTCTCTCTCTCTCTCTCACACACACACACACACACACACACACACATACACACACAGGTCATTAAGAGAATAGACAAAATATAGGCTGAAGATTTGAGGAAAAATGAACAGGAATATACCTCCGCCTTTACTCTGTGTAATGACCCGCCAAAACACAGACTGAGAACACTGCTGATTTCTGGGATTTGCCGCTGGAATGAATGCCTTGCTGAGATTCCCGCATTCTGCTGTGGTTTCCAAGTCTGTGTGCGTGTGCGTGTGCGTGCCTGCTGGTTTGCGTGCCTGTCTGAGTGCTTGTCGGCTGAGTGTGTGTGTGACCCGCAAGGGTACTTGTCGGATGAAAGGCCCCGCAGGGCCGGTACTTACCTGTGGCCGTGACTTTGAGGGTTGCAGCGGGGAAAACACTCAAGTAGCGGGGGTAGGCCCACAACACTTAGAGCAGCAGGGAAAAACATTCAAGTAGCAGGTAGGCCGGTACCACTCAAGTAGTGGTAGAAGTGTCGGGTACTGGAGGCCGAGCAGAAGAAGACAAAAGTTGGCATTTTTAGAGGCCTAGTAGCGGTAGGTTAGAGGTAGGCCGGTACCAGTCCAAGTAGCCTGAGTCTAGGGCCTGTCCGGATGATAGCGGAGCCTGCAATGATGTTTCCCTCTGAAAGGGAGGAGGTACCGGTTGCTGAGAGCCGCTCGGCCTAGGCAGTCACCACACAGGAGACCAGTAGGCCGCTATATCTTCTGGAGGAGCAAGTAGCTCCTCCTCATTTGCGGTATGCAAGGATTGGCGACATGCTGATGAGCCAAGCGTTGGACTTGTGCAGCGCTGCCTGGAGGAGAAGGGCAGCTGGGCGCTCAGCCTGGCTATGGCGAGCAGCCCAGTTTGCGGAGGAGGGAGAAGGGGGCGAAGGAGGAGAGTGGCGAGGTACCTACCTGGCTATGGTGGACACCATCTTCATCACCTTGTTGGGCGCTGCATCTGGAAGGCCCCAGTTGGGGTAGTGCCGCACCAAGGAAGCTCGAGGCAGAGTCAGGCATGGCGGCTTAGTCAGCAGCGGCATAGCTGCTTTGGGTTGTCTTTTGGACAGGAGTGCAGCAACATAGCTGCTTTGCGTTGTCCTTTGCACAGGATGGCAGAGCCCTCAGTAGTCCGCCATAGCCTAGGCGTGTGAGAGGTGGAAGAAGGGGGGGAAGCCATAGCTATGGTGGACCTGTTGTTGTTGTGTCAGCAGTAAGAGGGAACTTCGGACATTGATTCTGGTTCATCCACTCATTGTTATTATTATTATTGGGAGAAGAGTAAGATTGGCAAAATGAAGGAGGAGGAGGAAGGTGGAGAGAGAAGGGGGATTTGCCATTGGTCTTGCTGGTGTACTTCTTCTTCTTCTTCTTCTTCTTCTTCTTCTTTCTCTCTTCTTTGGTCTCTATCTCTTTGCAAGTGCTTTCATTTCTTTCGCAATTGGGTGGCATTGTCTTTCATTGTGAATTTGCACTTTGGGAATGACCAGGATCGTAACATCTGCCTCCTTTCACAATGTGCAAGTGGGCTGTTATGGCACACGGGTATGTTATGAACTTGGTTGTCTGTTGGTTGTCTGTTGATTTACACCAACACTCACACACAGACAATCTCACGGACGCCCATACATGCATAAGAATCTGTTGGTTGTCTGTTTATTTACACCAACACTCACACACAGACAATCTCACGGACGCCCATACATGCATAAGAAGAAGGGGAGAGGAGACAGAGTACACACTGCACACAGACAGAAGAAAACACTATGCACAGGTGTCAAGATAACACGAAGTGTTTCTCACTCTCTGACAATACTCCCAACAACCGATCACAATTAGACACTTGCGAGGATAACAAAAGAACAATCTGAGATTGAGCCGATCTGAACCAATACCGTTACAGCTTTTGTCTCAGCTTTTGTCTCATAGAACCACACACTCCACTCCCTATCTAAACCCAGTTAGTAGCGCCACACAACAACAGCCTCCCAGAGGCCTGTGCTAACCACCCAGATGAAGAACAGGAACTGCGATGTAACCCTCAGGGCCGATGAGCAACTATGACGAAGAGAGCTGCAGCTATGGCTGCAGCTCCACTGTAGATGCCACACACGATCTCAGAGGAAGATGCAGTGACAGTGGTCCACCCACAAACACCATGTAGAGCCTCAGAATAGCCCAGCCCCTCGCAAGCACCCCCAAGGGTGGATGCTCCGAGGACGCCCCAGTTATGGCGAGCTCCAGAGGCTGGCTATGACTTCCGTCCACGACGAAGGTCTCAGGATACCGCCTGTAGGCAATCGTCTCTCCAGTACTTGCTTGGCTCAAAACGCAGTGACGTGAAAATGAAACTGCCAAAAAGTCCTCACCCTACTGACCTCAATCTATTAATAGACTAACCTAGTCCTAGACATGGACTGGACCGACCGGTACCGTTTCAGTTTGGGCCTCTCGGGCCTTTACCTACCTGGCTATAGGCTCTCATGCTACGGGCCTAGGCCATAGGGCCTCCCGTCCTGAGATAGCCCGGGTCTGCTATTCGCAGTGTGGCTCAAGGGAACTGCGGGCCTGTAATTTTAGAAAATTACACATATGTCCCTCACGAATTTCCCTCAGTACTGAACTCTCTGTTAGTCCCTGACACAAACCAAATTACGAATCTAACCCTATGCTGTTACTGTACAGCCTTGCAGGCAGGTCTGGGCAGTCAAAATCAGCAAGTCATTGCAGGTATGTGGGCAGCTTGCGCTCAACCACAATCAACATGGCAAGCCTAGTACATGAGAGGCACAGTAAAAGCGGCATTGCAAGGACAAATGGAACAGGTACCTAGGCTACCAGAGTGCCACGGGACCACTTGCCCGGCCGGGCCAAAAACAAATTAAAAATATATATATATAGGGTTCAGCCTCCTGATGAGTCGGTGAAACTCCGACGAAACAGTTTGTCACAGCCCCTCGTTTGTTGTCCTCTTCTCCCTCTCTGCCTACGGTTTACT